TTCGTTCATGTTTATTTGCTGCTATAACTAGTAGTAAAGAGGAAGAGATGATCAGTGACAATTGACAGAATTTATAAGCTGAGCCTTTGTTTCATATTAAAAGTAACAAATCATAAAGACTTTTGCCGCACTTCAAATAATGTTTAGTGAAGTTCTGTTCACGAATCAACTAAAAGAACTCAGTTTGTCAAAATGATCAATTATTTTGGCCAAAACCAGAAATTATTTTTCAGCCACCATAATTTTGGTGTCTAAATGCATGTTATTATTTTCATCCATCTGGTTGAATCACACCGTCCGGTGAGAATCTCACGTGTTTCTGCAGGAGTCTGTGTGGAAACCAACAAGCTTTTCTAGAAGCTTCTGCGCTCTCTAATAGAAAAGACTGTGTTCCTTCTCTCTGGAGTCATTTAAAAGTGAGAAAGTGTTCAAACAGAGCCAAATGCAGTGATTTAGTAGCGGCGCCGGCCGCGTTTCTGCTGTAAAACAAATGTGTTCTGCGCTCGCGTCTCCCCGCTGAGGACTTTCTTCAGGAACCGAAATAAACAACACAGAAGAAATCAATACGCTGCAGTTATATGTAATCTCTGACTGTGTCTCTCGCAGCGGCGTCGGCTCTACAATAAAAAAACGGGAGATGGAGGAGCGTCGGATACAGGAGAAGAGGAAATGATGGAAAGTCATAGGGGACGTTTAGAGCGTGATGAACGAGGACGAGGGAGAAAAACCGAGACTCTGAACGGCTTCTGCTGGAATTGAGCTGTTAAACCCTTTTTTTCCTCTTCATTGAGCTGTGGAGGTGCTGCCATCCTGAATTTATAACACTGACACCATCGCTGCTCGAGAATGTTCTGTCTGATCTAACTCAACGTCAGATGAGAGAGAGAGAGTCGTTCTCACACATTCACTGGCCTTTTCCACATGAATCCTGGAGTGCTGTGACGGACCCGGTGCAGTCTGGACTATCCTCATCACCGCCTCTAGTCAACATGAAACTCATTCACAACTCATTTCACTCCCATTACGTGACATACTTTTTCAGGACTTTATTTATTTTTAGTTTTTAAAGCATGTGAATAAGGTAAAAACAGCTTTCACCATATTTCCCCCAGTTAATTTATCACAGTATTTTAAAATAACTGCTTTCCATTGCAAGTTTTCTAAATTGTTATGTTTGAAATGCGTTAAATATGCCCTAATTTGCAGAAATGTCCAGAACATAAATCTAAAGCCAGGCTCATAATTTTTGTTTGGTTTCGTTGACATATTAGAGTTAGAGGTTTTTATAGAGGGGATTCTGGATTTCTCTTTTTATCACTGCATAAATCAGAAAATACTGTCAACCGACAGAAAACAAACACATTTTCACCATGTTTTTAGGAATAAAATGTCATAAAAACTAATGTGAATCATATATCAACAAACCCCTCAGTAAAAACCTTCAGGATATAGAGAGGAATAAAACGTCTCAGGTTACTTATGTAACCATGGTTCCCTGAGTAGGGAATGAGACACTGCGTCCTCTAGGGGTCGCTATGGGGAACGCCTCGTCGTGACCCGTGTCTGAAGCATACATTGAAAAAACACCAACTCGCTGGCCGGCGACAGCCATGACGTCACTACCGGTGCGACTATAGTATAAATAGGCGCCGGGAGCACACATCATTCACTTCTTTGTCTGAAGCTTGCGTCCGCAGCATGGCAAAAAACCTAGAGGACGTAGCGGGTCACGACGAGGCGTTCCCCATAGCGACCCCTAGAGGACGCAGTTCGAAGTTCCCATGAAAGGGAACTCTAAGTTTTGGTGTATGTAAGTGCTGCTGAAGTGGACGAAAAACTTTTAAAGGTTATATTTATAGTCAAAATCAGTCAGTTGGGTAGTTGTGTATAGGTTTTACTTTTTTACTTCATTGTTGTATGCCTGTATTTATGTAGCACCGTGGTCCTGTGAGGCACGACATTTCGTTCCACTGTATGTCCCCACATGTAGCAGAATGACAATAAAGCTCAACTTGAACTTGAACTTGAACATATAACTGACTAAATCATGCAGTCAGTTGTTGTTTTGCATCATGTTCGTCCAC